CTTGAGAGAATAAATGATTGGGCTATGATTGTTAATGTAGGATGTTTTGCCTGTAATTGAGAGTATAATGCTGCTCTTAATTAAAGGTGTCGCCAAAATGGGTGTCTTGAAAACTTCCATTACTGGGCCACTAACAGACATAGTGGCGACAACATCAAAATTGACGCAAAATAGGGCCGCCTTGATTTCACGCGTGCCTATTCTTATAGTTATTACTCCATGTCATCCAAAATTAATTATTTTTATCATGATACACCCTTTAAAAAAAAGGAAGTGCTAAATGGCCAAAAAATTAAAAAAATTATAATATTTTTTTATTTTAAAATAAATTGATCTTTTTTTTCCATTTTTTAGTTAAAAGATATTAAAGTTAAAAGGGTAAAAATGTTTAAAAAGGTAAAATAACATAGATAAAATATCATTCTGGCAAAATTTTGTATGGCAAAAAAAATTTTCCTACAAAAAATTAATTAACAATATTAATCAACCAATAATATTACTCTTTTTTATTTTTGATTTCCAACATGAACTAATGACACTAATCATGTTTAATTAAAACGTATAATGAGATTGAATACTACTTCCTCTAGTCCAATTAATACACATAATTGAATTGTTGTAGTATGATATATCCTTTAAAAAAGATATTTAAAAACATTAATTAAAGGGTAATTTGTCAATATTACCTTTTAATTATTTTCAAACTCTTCTTAAAAGTAGTGATAATAACAATTTGATATTTTAATAGTTTAAAATCGCATTTAAAAAAGGGTAATTCTAAAGAAGAAAAAAACTTAAACTTTGAAAATTTCATTTTTTGGACTATAAAAAAAAGTGTCAATAATTCAGTTATATTGGACCAAGAGGAGTAATATACTCCTCATGTTTATTTTTATTTATGTATGATAGATTTGGTATGTTCTTTAAGAAATAATAATAATTAATATGAATATTTTATCATAATATTTATATTAGTAATTGATATATGTGTGCTTAGGTCTTGAGATGATTTGGGAACTACGTAATTAGTGTTAAGAAAAATAATTAATGTTTATTTATATATGTTAAAAGTGAAAAAATATTTTTTGAATACTTGACAAATAAAATTGATGGAAGAGTATGATTTTTGTCTTAAATTTAAGGTGTGTTTGGTATGAAGGAAAATATTTTTCATGAAAAATGTTTTTCTGAAAAACAAGTAGATTTTCGACTTCTTTTCTCATGTTTGGTTGGTGAGTAGAAAATATTTTCCTGAAAAGATTTTTTAGTGTTTGATTTATAAATGAAAATTAGTTTTGAGAAAATATCTCTTTTTTTACTAGAGAGTAGAAAATAATTTTTGAATTGATATTGAAAATATATTTTAAAAATAAACTTAAATTTTTTTGGAGGGAGGGGTGGGGGGTCGAGGGCAGGGGTGGGGTCAAAATAAAACTTTGAAATTGAAAATATTTTTTAAAAAACAAACATTACATTTTTTTTGGGAGGGGGGGTTTGAGGTTGGGGTGAGGGTGGATTCTGTATATCGGACACACTCATCATTAATAGGTGTGTCAAGTAAAAAATAAACAAGTAAACAGGTACAGAGGGAGTAATGTGAGATGACATTCCATTCATCACCTCCTCACACCAAAATTCAAATATTGCTTAGTAGGGATTTCACTAGCTGATCCAGTGCAAACACATTAAAAAACCGAGGTATTTCAATCTCCCGCAAATATCCGATTTTCTAAAGTATCAAATTGAATTCGACTCTAACACCACAAAAAATTTGGTCTCTACGCACGGATTTTAAAATGAGAAAACACGAGAAAATTAAAGTGTAGTGTCATTTAGTTGTGCGTGTTTTTTCCCAATTCCCAAGAATGTTCCGTCGTATCCTCATTGTCCAATGTAATCTGCTACACTCTTCTATGACGGTAAAATCAACAATTCATTTAATTTGTCTACTACCTCTTGGCATTAATACTTTCTGCTGCCTTCTAACTTCTAGGAATATTAACTACTTAAATCATGCACTTGGCAAGGGTGTCTCTATTTTTTAAACTAGTTTCTTTTCTTACGAAAAATCATTTTGGCTAGAAAATTTTGGTCATAATTTAGTCAAAATGGTTAAGGACATATATATATTATAAAAAATAGAAAATAGCATTTGACCAGATCTAATGTGTTATGAGTTATCGTTTTTTAAATGTTTTATAAATTATTAAATTATATAGTTTAATTAGAAAATGATCAAATGACCTCCCAATCTATTACCAGATTTTCAACTACACACTTATTCTTCGCGGGAGTCCTATTACCTCCCTCAACTACTTTAGAATGGAATAAATAACCCCTTAAGTGCTGAGTTGGCATAGAGAGTATATGTCATTCTCTTTGAGAGAGTGAGTCACCTATTTTTTTTTAAAAAAATCCGTTTTTTTCTAAAAAAAATTTTCTTTCTCTTTCTTTCTTCTTATTTATCTATACAACTTTACATTTTTCACCATTATCATTGTTGAAGCTTTTTCAATAGATGTTTGGTATAAAAATTATAACAACTAATGCATTTTATGAATAAATAATTTTTCAATAGACATATTTAGAACATATCTAACAAATTAAATTTATTTTTTTAAAAAAAACATACCCATTAATTAACTTTTTTTAAAGTCATGGACTCAAGAGTAACAAAATCAAAGTGAAGTAATTGTATATTTAAAAAATATCTTCAAACTTATTAAAAGAAACTAAAACAAAACAATTTTTTCTACATTTTTAAAGAAGGATCCTACATGTTCTCATAAAACCCATGAAGAATCAAAATCAAAAACTCAAATTATAAATTAATCATGAAAAGTTTAGAGGGAGAAAGAATAAAAAATTGGGAAGAGAAAAGGTGACTTGAATTTTCGTTTTTATAAATTGTTAGAGATATAGAAATTTATTAAGGTAAAAAATGGTGTTTATTATAGTTAGGGTTGAAAAAATGATTGGGGAAGAAAGGAAGAGGAAAGAGGAGTGCTTTTTTTTTTAAAAAAAAATAAAATTAAATGGTGAGATACACGTGTGAAGTGCGTGTATTTCACCACAAGACACATGCCTGATAATGACATTTCAGGGAGAAAATAATTTTACTTTAAAATAGCTCAGGGGGTTAATAGGACCCCCGTAAAGCATACGTGTGTAGTTGGAAATCCGGTAATAGATTGAGGGGTCATTTGGCCATTTTCTCTAATTTTATTCAAACATAATAATTTAAAAAAAATACTTAATTGGAATTTGGAGGTCATATTAGTAACAAATATAAGTAATGACTCATAATTGGAGGTCATTTTAGTAAAAAAATAGAAGTAATGATTCACAATTTATAAAATCGACGTAATTACTATATTTAAAAAAATTTAAAACATACTTAAATAATTTCAAATGTAATTAAAACACGTTTTAATAACGATAGTTAAGAATTAAAACACGTTTTAATAACGATAGTTAAGAATTAAAACATCTTAAATATGATAGATATCAACACATTATATATAGGAAAAGAAATCTGAAATATAATTCTTAGTTAAGTATTACATGTAATAATGCTTGAAATTGCCAACATAAAAGTTTAATCATTAATTTGCTATGATTTAGATTATGTAATTTTATTTATAATATAATTTTTCTGATGATAATTTAAATGATTTTTTTTTCATTTCAAACCTTTTCTATCCATCTCTAGAAGTAGGACGAGAGAAAGTCGATATGCTATTTGAAAATTTTGCCTAAATATTTTATTTGTAGAACAATATAAAAAACTGATGACATTTAAAATTCAATATCATTAAAATCTCACCTTATATAAATTTTGCACTTAAACGGCATACAAATGATAAGGAAAATAAATAAAAGAAAGAATTTTTAATATTTAAGAGTTTTAAATTTAAAATTTTACATGTTTAAATAATTTTTTTAAAATAAAATTTGTAATTTTTTTACTTACAATATGGTAGATATCGACACATTATAGAAATCATAAATATCATATAGTTCATGAGTATTATCGGGTATCAACCTCATTTAACATCAATCTAAGAGAGATACACATTAATGTTGAAGTTTTGCATATTAATTAATTATTATATTTTAGAAGAATAAATTAAATATTTAAATAATTAAGTGACGACTCTAACTACAGCAGCCCAAGAGAGTTCTCACTCGTTAATGTTATAGTCTTGTGCTCATGTTATGACGATGAATAACTTGCGAATAAATTTATATTTGTTATTAATATTATCTCTAATTAAGTAGTTTTATAAAATTTGATATGTCTAAATAAATTTAAACTGCGTATTTAAATAATTTTTGAAATACAATTCGAAAATATTTTAATAAAATTTTATAAATAATTATTGTGATCCCTACAGTGCCCATATTTAGCTAGAATTTAGAATCTTATTTCTAAGGGGAATAGGGGAGACTGGCGTGAGTTTTCTTTTAAAAAGAAAACAAGTGCATATTTTTTCTGAATCAACTGTGTTTTTGATTCTCCTCTTTGGACTAGGAAGAAATCTCTATAATTAGGGATTCTTCTAACCCTAGAAAGAATAAGTTTTCTATACGATACTTGCCCACCCAAGTATTGAGAGAGTTCAGATGTGAACTTGGGATCACTTAGAAGACCGCGAACTGTTGTTTAACTTGTGGATTCTCTTGAATGTCTGACTTGTGAATTCGCTTGAAGGTATCTGCTCACGTTTCAAGAGGTAATTCTTGAATTAAATTTTGTAAAGCTTATGTGTTCTAGCATGATTGCACATATTCTAGCATAAAACGTAGGTTATCTATTATTCATGTAATCAGAATAATTCTGATATGCTTCTGTGCATATAGTTTTCCAACAAAAATATGGAGAGAAAAATTGCACGTGGTTACAAATGCAATTAGAACAAGCATGAGGTTTACTGTTTATTGAAGTTTATGCATATAATAAAATGATGTGATATAATTTAATAGCATAATATATAAATATGTCTTTTGATTTTGCTTTAACTGATATTTATGCCCTTAATTTTGGGTGTGCACAAGTAAGCATTTAAACTTAAATAAAATTAAACAAGTAGACATACGTGTCTTATGTGACATAATACACACAAGACACCACAGAGGACACAAAATTTTCATGTAGGATGCTACGTATGACGAATGTGTCTATTTCTTCAATCTTATATAAGTTTAAATGTCTACTTATGCAAACCTAAAATTTAAAAATATGTATGTTTTATGCCTAGATTAACGAATTAACTTAGGTACTTGGAAATACACATACAAAAAGATTTTGAAAATGAATAATTAGGAAGTGCATGTATGATGTACTCTCAAGTGAATCAAAAGTTGAATATTGAACTACCTATTTCATTAAACAAAAAGGGAGGACGAATAGAGAAAAGCATTATGGACATGTGTTGCTTCTCTTAAGAAAAAAAAGAAAAGAAAAAAAAATATGAGATCTCTTTAGTTTTGGTGGCTTTTACTTTTTGTTTGCACGCCCTAAAAAGAAGGTTTAACCCCAACAATCTTTGACTGAATGAGTCAAACACTGTCTTTGCCAGTCCTTGCGATCACAACCCTCCAACTGGGATCAGACACTGACATATATTGACTTTCACATCCTTCACTTCTCTTCCTTTGCACTAACATCCACTTCCATTAACAAATTTGTGTGACGGAGTAAAAAAATTTTACGAAGAGATTTAAAATATGAAAAAATAGATACATAAAAAAGTTGAATATGATTCAACATTCCTGAATAGTTCAGTCTTTAGGTTATTAAGTTCATTTATTTTTATCAAGGTTTAAATATTTAATTGATCTAAATTATTAAGATTTTGAATAAAGTCTTAATATCATTAAAATGTACTTTTATGTGGGATAATAATATTCACTGGCATTTTATACAGAATTACCAACCACTTCCGTCATCACATTATCACCATCATTATCATTGTCAACCATTGATTCCATCACCAGCTATCTCTATCATCATAACCATTACTGACAACCACCACCGATGTCGACCATGACAAAGTTGCTACCATAGTATCATCTTCATCATTATAGTTATATACACTTCCACCACCATCGTTGTGACCGCGACTACCTCCACCTTTACTATCAAACATTGCGGTCAATCTCTACTATCAATCAACTCTACCATCACAATTAGCAACGCCGCCAACTACCACTACCACATTTAACTATCACACATTTTTAGCCATCACCACCTTCACTATCATTATCAATCACTACCACCACTGTAGTGATCAATTCCTACAGCCAATTACCACATCCACCATCATAACAACACCACCTTCAGCTACCATCAAAACATCGCCAATTACCAGACATTCTATAATTAGCCACCACCAACATTAACATCAACCAATTTTACCATCATTACTATCACCATCATGACAGTCACTACAACACCAACCACCTCACCATCACATCTTACCACCACTATTACTAGCCACTGACATCAACCATACCACTACCCGCTGTCACTACAAATTATTTCCACCATCACTAGCGAGCATAAATATTGTTTATTTTTAATCAAACAATTATTTTATTTTATTAAATTCTTATGTTTTTTCTAATATTTAATTATTTTTTATTTGAGTTGTATATTTATTATATTTACAAATAAATAAATAATGTACTTTCAGATATTGAAAAATAAACATTCTTAATCATTCAATGTTCGAATTTAGAGATAACAGTTGAGCATTGATCAAACTTGGACGCTTAAATCTTAATGAAAATAAATGAGCATCAACATTCCCTCGGTTCCAATTTAGCGCACTTTCATTTTTAACATGTCTAAAAAAGAATGTTACTTTTTTTAATATTTAGAAACAATTTAACTTGAAATTTTATCTACTCTTAATGAGATGATTTAGAGCTACATAAATATTTAAAGGTCATTTTAATTAGACCAAAAATTTGACGTAATTTTTTTAAATTTTTTTTTTTGTATTTAATAAAAAAGGTCTCATACATAAAGTAATTACTAGTTATGATTTTTTTAAGAACGAAATACTTTACATAATTCTTTATGTCCGGTACTGTAACTATCTCTGGTTGTACTTGTTGATTATAAGTATTCGCAAACCAAACAAATAATGTGCATAAATTTAGTATTAACGCATTCATAAATATCAGCCAATATTATCTATTAGCACTAGCATATGATATTAGTATATTATTTATCAACTCAAATCTACGTTCCCCCATATATTATTATTATTATTATTATTTTAATGCAAAAGTAGAGTTGTTGCCCCTTTTGTTTGTTCACATACCGAAACTTTGAATAGTGGCAGCTTTTGTGCATGTCTATCCCACTCTACACATAACACCACGCAAAAACAATTGGATCAAATCCTCAAATTAAGTACCTAGATAAAACAAATAATACTACAAATTAAACAACAAAAGACAAATCCATTAAACTAAACTTCAAATAACTAGTATATATATCCCCGGCCCCTTTATCTTGCTTGCACTTGTTAAGTTGATAAAAAAAAAAAAAAAAAAAAAGCAAACTAGGATACAACTTTTTCAAATATGGGTACAAAATGTGGTCGATGGAATCCAACGGCGGAACAGGTTAAAGTTCTAACTGACCTGTTCCGCTCTGGACTCCGTACCCCGACCACTGATCAGATTCAAAAGATATCGTCTCAGTTAAGCTTTTATGGAAACATCGAAAGTAAGAATGTGTTTTATTGGTTCCAAAACCATAAAGCTAGAGAACGACAGAAACGTCGTCGTAAGGTTTTGGTTGATGAATCAATCAATGACGAAGATATGAGAATCCAATTCGATAATATCTCTTCAAACAAACGTAAGTACTCAGCAAAACGTATAATTTATTTTCTTACATCAGCTGTTTGATTTCTTACATCATTATTAATTTTATATGTGCAGATTTTCCAGAGATAAATACTAATCATGAGACGGCTGAGAGAGTAATAGAGACTTTACAACTCTTTCCTTTAAATTCATTAAGTGAATATGCTGAGACGGAGAAGTTAAGGCTATTCACTGAGGAATACATGACATTTTCCTGCTCTATCGGGGCGGAAATGGATCATCCAACGTTGGATCTACGTCTAAGCTTCTTTTCATAGAAAAATAAAATAATTATGTACTTGTAACATTATTGTCGTATCAATCAGTACTAATTATTAGCAGTAGTAGTAGTATATATATTTCCTACTATGAAATATGAATAGCCAAGTATAATTATATAGTAAGGAGGGTTTGCAAGTTTGATGTAGTGATTATCTAATGAGTAATCTTTGAAAATGCATTGATACTTGTACTACTACTACTAATTAATCCAATTTGGTTCGACATATTCCTCTCTGTAAGCTCACGGAACACTACTTTTTAAGTAATTATTTTCACGTATTACTTAGCTTGTTTTGTTCATATATATGTGAACGCTGGGAAATTTAGACTTTTGCTTCGTATCCCAAGGAATAATGTTTTTTTTTTACTTACATGACTGTCAGGAAGAGTAAGAAAGCAGTGGTTTAATTTCTGCAATATCTGCTCCGCCATCCATTGTTGAAGTTTTATATATAATATAGTTAGGTTAGGCTACTCTTTTCAAAACAAAAAAAAATAAGAATCGAAATGAATAGCCAAACCCCTTCTATGAATTGAAGCAACTAGACAGTTAGGGTTAGGGCGTATAAAATCGAACCGAAAATCAAATCAAATCGCAAATTGAGTCAAATCAGAAAAAAAATTCGACTAGTGGTTTGGTTTGATTTGGTTTGGTACTAGAAAAAAAACCCCGATTATATTTCGGTTGGGTTGATTTGGTTTTAACTAAAAAAAAACAACCCGAGACCAAACCAACCCGACATTATATATGTAATTCTAAATTTTATTTTATACATAAAAATATTTACTTTGATATAATTTTAAAATAGTTTTTATACTATTTCATAGTTTTTATCTTTTAATATATTATTTCAAGTTTAAAACTTAGAATTCGGAATGATCCAATATAGATTATAGTTCATAGATGTTGATAATTATAATAAAACTTAGATCAAAATCAAATTAATACTAATGCAAAAAGGAAATCAATTCAACACTAAGAATGGCAACAATATTGAATATTTGTTCTTTAGTTTTACATTGGTTTAGGCAATTAAAATACATAATCTAATTTTAATTTTCCTTAAATATTTAGTAATGTAACTAATACTTATTAAACTTATTTTAGTATGATTTAGTATTTTTAAATTACGATCATTTTCATTATGACTTTGCAATATTTATTTAATATGATGATATCATTATTAATTTTTATTGAATAATTTTTGTGTCATCAGTACTTATCTCATATTTTGTGTTATTTTTTTAAGAAACAACTTAGATAATTGTATTTTGGTTGGACTAAAGAAATATTTGGAGAACAAGTTAATTATATGTTTGTATGCAAACTTTACCGAAAAAATCCAAAAATTTGAAAAAATCCGAGGTTTATTAGTTTGGTTTGATTTATAAATTAAAAAATTTGACACAATGGTTTGGTTTATAAATTTATAATTTTTACACAAATAATTTGGTTTGATATTCAAAAACCCGAACCAACCTGGTCATATACATCCCTAGTTAGGGTAAATTTCATAAATGGTCATGTAAAAATTATTGGAAAAATAATTATAATCAATTCGGTTCACTTTTACTCATTGAATTTGAATTTTACACCTTTCTAGAGAAATAATGATTAATATAAGCATTTTATCATAATAACTACATTAATTGATGTATACTTTTAGGTCCTTAGAATTGATTTAGAGAGTAAGTAATTAATGTTGAAGGTAAACAAGAAAATAATAATATAATTTTTTTGATATGTTAAAAATGACAAGTAAAAGTGAAAATTTATTTTGTAAATACTGGAAATCAAAAGTACGTAAAAGTGAGTGGATAGAGTATATTATCTTTAAAAGAAAATTATCGTTTTTAAATAGGCTACTAGGTTGCATATCGATCGACTCGATTTGGTTTTGACGTTAGATTCGACTTATCGGTTATCGATTTGTAGACATGCTAAACCGTTAAGATATATTGACTTATCGGCTATTGATCGTTATTGATATAACCATTAAGATTTGACATAAGAAAATTCATGAAAATTCACTTTAAAACAAGGTGACAAACCAAATGAACCATGCAAATGAGTTGCCAATGTTGACACCCAATTTTGACCCTCCTTGGTAGAAATTATTTTTCGAGCTTCTTAGATTGCAAATGATCTAGAATAATTAGTTTATAAAATATTTTTTGGAATTTGGAAGTGATTTTAATCATTTTTTATACTACTTAAATAACACATAGTTCTTATATACTTATTAATATATTTTATAAATATTTGAAAATCATATAATATATATATATATATATATATATATATATATTTCTTTTTAGCTAAGTATTTCATTAATTTAGTTTATTTAAATCATAATTACAATTTTGAATTGATTAGTTCATATTTAAATTAATTATGTTATAATTAAGTCAATTATTTTATTTTCGTTAAGATTAAGAAATTCATTAATTAATTTTTATTAATTTGTCTTGTTAGTTTTAGCCGAATTACTAATTAAACTCATTCAACTAAATATTTAATTCAATTTGGCTACAATTTCAACTCAAAGTGGTTACGATAGTAATTCAATAGTAATTTAATAACTTGCAAAGATAGTCATTCCTAGCTTAAGTTCCAATTCCTTGAGACCTGAAATTGGGCCAGATTTCCAACAGCTTCTTCCCCTTCTTATTTGAGAAAATTTTACATATAGCAAATAAAAAATTGCTAATTGTATGCTATAGCAAACTTGGTAAAATTGCAGTCCGTAGCAAAATTATAGTTTGCTATGGACTTTTCTTTCTGTATATTCGCTTGTCAATTTTTATTTTTTTTATACATTTTGATAGTTTAAAAAATAAAAGGGCATTAATTTCGGTTAGAAAAAAAAGGAAAAAAAGTCACTGAAGTCACGCACGTTCTGTTCCATTCGAATTCCCTTCCTTCTTCGTCGTCTTCAACAGTAAGAACTCCATTGTAACTCAATTCAGAAAATTGATCAAGCAATTGACGGTACTACACAAACAATCGAGATCATTGGACTGTAGAGATAGCAATAGGAGGTAATTTCATGACGAAAACATACTCTGATTTTTCCTTTTTAGGTCGAAGATGGTGTTCAACATGTATTCAAAATCAGATTTCCTTTTTAACTATCATCAATTTAAGTTGAATGTATATTGAGAGGTGTATATTTTGTTCGAAATAGAGTTTAACAATTATGATTTGTATAGTTAATTTATAATCTACAAAAATTTGTGATCTGGAAATTTTCTGGATGAACTTGTTGATTATTTTGAATTTGTGATCGGAGATTCGCTCATTTCACAGTAATATTTGTGTTCGGATTTGTATATTTGCTTAGAGTTTATACGTATAGGTTTTCAGATATGATTCAGTAAGATATGTATAATACATATATGAAACTATTATGTGTATATTTTATACAGTTATCTTCATCATAATACTGCACTTGTATGAAATTATATAATTGTGTATAAAGTTATAATTTGTGTATATAATTGTTTATATATAAATGTATATGCAGAATGTGTATATAAACGTTTATATGAGTATGTAATTGGAATATGTATATATGTGAATAACTGAAGTTGCTAGAATTTGTATAAATATACATTATGTTTGTTGTTGAAATTCTTAATAGTATAAATGTATATGTATATATAACTTTTTTTTATACAGAAATTTTGAAAAATGGCTTCATTAGCTATTTTGGTTATGCATTCCGGTAGATGGGACAATGACAATTGTTATGTTGACTATACAATTGAGGGGGTGATTTTTAAAGAAAGTTCATCGTATAGGGAGTTGTATAATGTTATTGCAATGCAACTCGGTGTTGATACAAATTTGATTAAGCTGAAACTTGAGTATAGGGTTAAAGAAAGCAAAACGCCAATGTTGATTCACAATGACATGGGTGTTAGAGTGTATATCATGCTTAAAAAGTCTGCAGATGACTTCAACAAGTATCCAATTTGTATAAGCAAAATGGATAATAGTAGCAATATCACTGAACTGTGTGAAAGTTCAAATCAGGAGAATGATATGGTTACATCAATTTGTAATGATGGTATTGATGATTTTGAGACTATGCATATGACAATTGGTGAATTGGTAGAGCCGTTTTGTGTCTTGGGGTCAGGGAGCTGCGATTGAGTCATTTCAGATCCTCTTAATAAGTACGTGGAGATTGACCAAGTGTATAAGAACAAAGCCACTTTGAAATCTGTGATGCAAAATTATGCAATTGAAAATAGATTTCAATATAGAACTGTGAGGTCAAATGCAATCAGGTAACTAGTTTATACAACAAATACATTAGTGTATATGGTGTTTTAGTTATTTGTATATTGATATGTTGTGTTGTATTTGCTGATGTAGTTATACGCTGGAATGTATTTCTGATGAATGTGAGTGGTTGATGAAAGCATCAAATATCAGCAAGTCTGGAATGTTTAGGATCCGAGCATTTAATACAGATCATACTTGTCCTTTGAAGGATAAAGTGTATTCACAAAAACATGCAACAAGCAAGTTGATTGGTGGGATCGTTAAGCCTAAGTTTGTTGATCACAAGAGAAAATATACACCTTCTGATATTAGAAGTGATGTAAAGATATATTTGGGAGTTGATGTAAATTACTCATTGGCTTGGAGGGCTAAAGAAAAGGCTCTGATTTCATTGAGGGGCACCACAGCTGCATCTTACAGCAAACTTCCAGCATACTTGTATATGATGGATATTACATATCCAGGCTCGCATATACGTCTAAAGAAAATAGACAAAAATGAATTCTTGTATCTTTTTGTTGCATTGAATAATTGTATACAAGGCTTTGATCATTGCAGGCCTGTCATAGTTGTTGATGGAAGTCACCTAAGAGGACTGTATAATGGAACATTTGTGGCTGCAAGCACAATGGACGGAGCAGGTATGTTTCATTGTGTTTTTGAATGTATATTTTTGATTTTATGTTAATTTGTATGTAAATA